CATAGCAATGTCTCGTGCATCTATCACATCTCCAATCTGAAATATTACATAAAAAAAGAACTTGATGTATAAATCAATAATGTTTCTTTAAATATATTAATATATTTATTCATGTAAGTTGAAGATATAAAGATATAACAAGAAAAAACATACAAAACTTCAATGCACAAAGGGGCACATGAGGACTTCTACCAGTAATCTTAGAAAGTCACCATATGAACTTTACAGTCTTGATGTGGACTTTAAAGTCCAACAACAAAAATCTATTACTGTCTTGGTGATTTTTCATCTGATATAACAGAGGCCTTAAAAATTTGTTATTAAAATCAAAAAAGTTTTCCCAAGAATATGACCTTACACCGGCTTTTTCACTTCCCAAGTTAGCTATTTAAATGCTATATTTTTCCAAAATCAAGAGGCAAAGCCACTGGTCTCTACTGACTCTTAAAAGCCCTTTTAAAACTGATTCATTTGTTTACCTTGTATGTGCTGTCTTGCAGATCTATATCACTTTTCTCTTTTTCTTCTGATTTCTCAGGCTGTCAAAAAAAAAAACAACAACATAATTATAGCACATGGAGCTAAGGTATTGAATGTTGAATTGAATTAAAACTGAATCACTTTTCTTGATTAACACGGACACAGGACTATTTTTGTGAACCCGGTTCTATGAAGCACTAAGAAAAAATAGAAGATATAGTATCAGGGCCGGCAAAATCTCAGAAAATTGTACTTGTCCACGGACAAGTAACCTAAGAAATTTACTTGTCCGTACTCAATGTTCACTCTGTCCGTATTTATATTTAATATTTACTGCAAATGTCAATAAAGAAGAGCAATATGATTATGAACTTTCTTTCAATTTTATCAAACATTCTGTGCCATATGTTTAATAATATAATATATTATGATTTTAATAATAATATATTTATAAAATATTAACGGCAGTAGATTAAATTAGAACGGACAGTGATGGACAAATTGTGTATATTAAGGAGCATTGGTCTTTTGCCAGCACTTTTTCAGTTTTCCTTGCACCCAAATTGCTCTAAAGTATTGTCTTCATTTTTTTGCACTCTGGTACCATTTCTTATCTATTCACTCCTTATTCTATTCACCTATATAATATTCATTTGAATCCTGTTAAAAAATCATATGTACTCTTGAGTTAGATTTGTCAAATTGATGACATCTGGCTTTTTTAACTGCCACAGAATGTAATATCATATACGTATATACGCTTGGTTGCAGCAGATGAATTGTGAAAATTTTGACATCATTATCATCGGCGACGATGAAACTGACATGTATACATTAACACCAGTATTAGACATTCAAAAACAAAGGCATTTTCACAAGAAATCTTTAAATAAAATAAATTATAAAATGACTTTGTCCACATAAATTCAAGCAGTCAAATTGCCGATGTGAGCGTAAATATTCCCGAATGACCTGGAAAAGCTATACAATGTATTTAATTTTCATACAACACAGCGGTATTTCAAAGACAATTGTTGCGAGATTGGTGCTGTATCTGCTATCTAAACAATAAATGCGCTTGAAAAGACCACAGCTTCCAAGTCAATTTTATGGCAGAATCCCCGTTGCTACCGAAAATATTTTATTGCAGAAGCTAAGTCGGCAGTCATAAACCAAAACAAACATGTACCCCACATAGTGACCTTGATACGTTTAATAATTAGTTAATTGCCGCGCGCATGCAGTAACTGCATGACGTAAGGAAAACCCCAAGCCTGGTTGGTCGCTATTTATGTAAACACTTAAAATAGTAACACCCTAATATGCACGGAATGCCCTCATGAATGACACCACACTTCACATACTAGTTGTCGTATTAAATGTGTGATTTTCCTTCTGATTTAGATCTATTAAAAAAGAACTAGATTTTTTTCTTCAGAATTCCTCTTTTAGCCGCCGAAATTTACTTGTCCACGGACAAGTAAACTGCAGAATTTTACTTGCCCGGACCTACAATTTTACGACTCGGACAACTCGGACAATTGATTTTGCCGGCCCTGAGTATCAACTTTTGTTCTTCTATGAAAATTACTAAATTACACAAAGAATTTATCAGAAATACAGCGTTTTCAATGGATAAAAAATAAAGCTGGACGCAAAAGATTCTTTAGGGAAATTTTATTTAAACAATTAATATTGCTTATCAGGAAGAACTCACCTCATTTTCTTTATCTGATCCATTTTCTCTAGTATCACCATCTTTTTCGGTCTCTTTTGTGTCCTGAGCAGGAGGAGGAGCTTTGATCATCAACTGGATGAGGTCATTGAGTCCAACACTGTAGTCAAATAGTGTGTGCCCATCTACAAGCTTTAATACAAAATAAATCAATATGAGTGCCAAGTTATTTTAAAATACCTTCATGCATAAAAAAGTTATGCACTAGGCACAAAGTAAACCCTTCCTTAGATAATACTAAACAGCTAAACTAATCATCAAATCTGGCCTTCCCTTCGTTTAAATCCCAGTCAGTGCCGGAGGATTTCTCAAGTTTACAATAATGCAATGTGATTGCAGTTTCAGCGACCGAGAACATAAATAATTTGCTCTAGACACTAAGAATTGCCTTTAAAAATGCCTTAATAGCATAAAAGAACACTGTGGAACCTCCATAGTAATGCCTCGACTGCGTTACTAGGTATCAATATCAGATTTTTATTGCCATCTATTGACACTTGAAAATTTACTGCTGTGTCACACACGTCTGACATTCGGGTCTAAATCAGTTTTATGACATGTATATGGTTCATTCCTTTTTCATACAAGTTTTACTTCTCAAATAACATGGGGTAAATACACAAGATTGCCACTTTCATATACTGTGTGACACAGCAGTAAATTTTCAAGTGTCAATAGATGGCAATAAAAATCTGATATTGATACCTAGTAACGAATGTCAGACGTTTCACTCCCAAGACGTTTCACTATTGAGACGTTTCACTCCCAAGACGGTTCACACCTAGACGTTTCACTCCCATTTTGTCAATTGTATGGACGTTTCACTCCCAAAGTTACTAATATAATTCAAATAATAAAAAATATCAATATATTAAATAATAATAAATATATTGACTATATAATGATTATTTTTTGTAAGTCTTAAACAATGAAATGCGAAACATGTGTATAAAATATATTATTTTTTAAAATTATTTCTTCATCAATTCATTAAACAGTAGCCATTAACTAAATTATGAACAGTTCTCTGTTCTGTTCTTAACACACTTAAGTAATTTTGGTGTTATCTCATCGCCTAATTAGTTGTATAAACACTGAGACAATCAACTTACAGTTTGACACCACTATTAAATCAGTTGTATAAACACTGCACTTAAGCTTCAACAGTTTACTAATCAGTGGTTTATTGGACCATTAAAATATTTTTTGACAACAGCCAATTTAAACACAGAAACTTCTCCATAAGTTTTGTTTATAAATATAATAATGAATTTTAGTCACAAAAAATGATTATACATGACAAATATTGAAAAAGTCCCAATGCTTCTAATTTAATTTAAAGATATTTCTGATTTCAATGGACATTAATTTTTTTACATAAATGTATATCGCAAAAGCACTACTGTATACTAGCATTAAATAATTAAACATTTTTTATCCCATCATCATGTTTAAAATTAACAACAAAAAACACATGATACTCAAAGTTAATTGTTGTCACGACATTGTTATGCTTTCAATCAAAATTGCCTATTGAGTCCATTTTTACAAAAGATCAAATAATTAGTTATATATTTTTTCTGTAAGTGAAATAATGTGATAATTGCACATATGGATCAAAGAATAGAAAAACACCTTATTTCATAACAACAATAAAGAAGATAAGATAACTGAAATGATAGAACTTAAAGTAATGAGTTTTAAGCCATTGAAAAAAGTGAAGTTCCCCTTTTTAATTTAGTTATATTAAATTTAAGGGTCTATTTTAGTTCAATTCAATTCAATATTTTAGGTCTATTTTAGTATATCATAAGAATCAAAATAATTTTGGTATAAAAAGGGAGTGAAACGTCTTGGTGTGAACCGTCTTGGTGTGAACCGTCTCAATAGTGAAACGTCTGTCTACCTTTAGACCCCAGACCAGCGGTCCTACTAAACACTGCTAAGGACCACTAAGGACTGCTAAGGACCGCTAAGGACTGCTAAGGAGCCACAAAGGACTACTAAAGAGGCACAAAGGACCTCCTAGGTCATTCTTATATTACAATTTACATGGTATTATTTTTAGTGAAAAAAAAATATAATTTTAAGAAAAAATATGATTTTGGTGAAAATTTTATGAGTTGTCGGACCGCTAAGGACTGCTCAGATACAAAAAAGACTGCTAGGGAGACACAAAGGACCTTAAAATACCTCCTAGGGCATTCTTATAATACAAGGTAGTATGTTTAGTGACAAAAAATGTATTATTTTAAGAAAAAATATCATTTTAGTGATAAAATTCATGTTTTTGAAGAGTTGTCGGACCGCTAAGAACTGCTCAGGTGCACTAACAACTGCTAGGGAGGCACAAAGGACCTTCAAATCCCTCCTAGAACATTCTTATAATATATAGTAGTAAGTTAATAGACAAAAAAGTATTATTGTAAGAAAAAAATATGATTTTGGTGATAGAATTTATGCTTTTGATGAGTTGCCGGACCGCTAAGGACTGCTCAGGTGCGAAAAGGACTGCTAGGGACCTTAAAATATTTCCTAAGGAGGCACAAAGGACCTTAAAATACCTGTAAGGGCATTCTTATAATACATGGTAGTATGTTTAGTGATAAAAAATGTATAATTTTAAGGAAAAATATCACTATAGTGAAAAAATTCATGTTTTTGAAGAGTTGTGGGACCGCTAAGGACTGCTCAGGTGCACTAACAACTGCTAGGGAGGCACAAAGGACCTTCAAATCCCTCCTAGAACATTCTTATAATATATGGTAGTAAGTTAATAGACAAAAATGTATTATTGTAAGAAAAAAATATAATTTTGGTGATAGAATTTATGTTTTTGATGAGTTGCAGGACCGCTAAGGACTGCTAGGGAAGTACAAAGAATCTTAAAATACCTCCTTGGGGCACAAAGGACTGCTAGGGAGGCACAAAGGTCATTTAAATACCTCCTAGGGCAATTCTTATAATATATGGTAGTAT